CAGGCATCTCATGGAAAGCAAGGATTTTTGTCTTGTTTTGTCCACATCTGTGTTTCAGGCACCTAAAACAGTGCCTGGCACATAGTAAGATAGCAATAAATATCTGTTGAGTAAATAATATATGTTACTTGCATTTTTTCAAGTGATTCAAATATTTCATACTTTAAAAAAAAACTTTTTTTTTTAAAGATTATTTATTTATTTGACAGAGAGAGACACAGCGAGAGCAGGAACACAAGCAGGGGGAGTGGGAGAGGGAGAAGCAGGCTTCCCGCGGAGCAGGGAGCCCGATGCGGGGCTCAATCCCAGGACCCTGGGATCATGACCTGAGCCGAAGGCAGACGCCCAACAACTGAGCCACCCAGGTGCCCCTAAAAAAATTTTTTTTTAAGATTTTATTTATTTGAGACAGTGAGCGAAAGAGAGAGAGAGAGGAAGAGGGAGAAGCAGACTCCCCTGCTGAGCAGGGAGCCTGACGTGGGGCTAGATCCCAGGACCCTGGGATCATGACCTGAGCCAAAGGCAGATGCCCAATGACTGAGCCACCCAGGCGCCCCACATTATATCACAATGACTTTTATTTCTGTGTTGTCTGTGTTCCTTGGCCTGGGAGCTACCAAATGGCAAGCACCAAATCTATGTTCACACAGATACTTAATCATAACTTCTTTTTTTTATTAAAGATTTTATTTATTTATTTGACAGAGAGAGAGATAGCGAGAGCAGGAACACAAGCAGGGGGAATGGGAGAGGGAGAAGCAGGCTTCTTGCCGAGCAGGGAGCCCGATGTGGGACTCGATCCCAGGACCCTGGGATCATGACCTGAGCCGAAGGCAGACGCTTAACGACTGAGCCACCCAGGCGCCCTTTAATCATAACTTCTTGATAAATATGTAGGACCTATATAAATTCATCATACAAATTCAAAAGAACCTAGGTTCTTCTCCAGCAAAAATTTGTTTGGCTATCCTGCCACCAACTTTCCCACTGGTCCCTCCCTCAGAAGCCTGGATACTAATGACTCTTTCTCTCCCTCCATCTACTGTTTTCTTCCTTCAGGAATAGGCAGGTTTACTAATGGCTCAAGTCCTGCTCTCCTGGGGAATTGATTTAGCCAGAGAAAGTAGGAAATCCATCAGTCAGTACCCACCAGCAGCAGGTACTTGAAATTAACAATCACCAAATAGAGTTCAAGACTTAAGAATAGTCCTTGTTGAGGTGCCTGGCTGGCTGAGTCAGAAGAACATGCAACTCTTGATCCTGGAGTCATGAGGTTGAGCCCCACATTGGATGTAGAGATTAGTAAAATAAATAAATAAATAAATACACTTAAAAAAAAGAATAGTTCTTATTGGCAGTGCAAAGGTACCACTCCAACTTGTACACAAGTGCCTGTTTAAAAGAAAGAAAGAATATCCTAGTTAACCCTGGAGAGAAACTTAAAAATCACCTACTTTTCTCCCTGATTTTTCCAAGTGAGGAAACTGGAGTTTTGAGATATGAAGTAACTTGCAAAGTTATTCAGGTAGTTAGTAGCAAGGCTGGGACTAGACTCTGTTTCCTGCTTCCTGGACAGCTGTTCTTTCTATGCCACATGCTGGTGACATGTGCATCTAGCAAAACGTATCATAAAGTAGCCTCATCTGAAGCCATCAGGAGTGAAAAATAAATTATTCAAACCCTTCCTCTTCTCTCTGGCAATTTTTTTCCTTTGCATTTCTCTGTGTCCTACTCTCTCTTTTTATCCTTCTTATGTTTCTCTCTGTGAATCCATCTCTGTTTGGGGTTTCAAATTGAACTGTGGCATGCCTGCATGATTCTTTTGATTATTCTTCTCTAAGCTGTTGTTTCCCATCCAAAGGCAAACATGCATAAGCCAATCAAGACTCTTTCTTGGCGACCTTTATGGAAAAGAACACTCAGAATTTCTATATGAGAGGTGCTGGACCTCCCTCCTAGCCTATCCAGTCAATTAAAATGAGTCCCTGGCCCCCCTGAGGGCTGTTAACCAATCCTAAGAAAGAAAAGATCAATCTCATTTCTTCGTCACTACTGTGCAGGGAGGCTGCTAACCAGTCAGAATGTGCCACTAAGAGTCATTAGAAAAACTGGCCAATCGGGCCAACCTTGTTACATGGTCTGGTAGGAAAAGAAAGGGATTGATTGGAAAGGAGAGTCTGGCTCCACACCCTTTCCTTCCTGGATCCTAGTTTTCCCTGGCTGAAGTGGTGGAAGGACCCTTTCCCAAACCCTGAGTTAAGAAGATCCCTAGACCCTTCGCTAAGGCTTGCTTTTGTTGTCTTCAAATTCACCCTTCTCTCACATACCTCAGCCACTTTCTGCGGTCTCACTGTTCCCCTACTGACTGAATTTCTGACTTCAGGCCTGGCAGTAATAGCCAGCCTCCGGAAGTCTCAGTCCTCCCCACAGATCTCTCTATCCACCGACCTGTCAAAGAACTTGTTTTGCATGATTTATGAGGGTGAAAAAGTTCAGTACCTGATAGTTGAGTCTCAGGAGATATCATTGCAGGGACCTTGCAATCAAGTCTCCAGGGAGCAGTGCAGAATCGAACTGCAATGCTTCCGGCTATAATGATAATAACAACAGTAACAATAACTAGTATTATTGGGGCGCCTGGGTGGCTCAGTCGTTGAGCGTCTGCCTTCGGCTCAGGTGAGGATCCCAGGGTTCTGGGATCGAGCCCCACATCGGGCTCCCTGCTCAGCGGGAAGCCTGCTTCTTTCTCCCTCTCCCACTCCCCCTGCTTGTGTTCCCTCTCTCACTGTCTCTCTCTCTCTGTCAAATAAATAAATCTTAAAAAATAAAACTAGTATTATTATTACTATCATTTATTGAACTCTTACTGAGTTCCAAGCACCTTGCAAAAAGCTTCACATATATTATCCCAATATTCGCTGTGGGGTACGCACCATTACTACTCCAAATCTGCATAGGAAAAAATCGATTTAGAGGGGTTAAACAGCTTCCGCAAGGTCACAACGATTTGGGAACCCAGGTTTATGTGAATCCAGAGCCCAACACCGAAGGGCTTAAGGGAGAATTAAACGCTGCAGGCTGTAACAACTTTAGCTTCCTCCCGGGCCCCTTCTCCAACCCTCCTTTCTGATGGTCCGCGATATCTAAGAGGGGGTCCAAACTGTCGCAACAAACAGCTGCAACAACCGTTTGGTGGTGGCGGCTCCTAAGAACTGTGGACTTTCTGCCTGGGAGGCCGTGAAGCCGAGAGCTGAACGGAATTCGGGGGGTGGGGGTATGGGGCCCGCGGGGGATTTCCTTGCCCGCCCGGCTTCCCTCTCTCCTCACAGCATCTTACACCGTGCCTGGTACCGCTTGGTACTTGGTAAATACCTGTTGATTGACTCCCAACGATCCCAGCTCCTTTCCTCACCTATCTCCCCCCGCCCCCACCCCGAGTCAACAACTGGAACTGAAGGGATATTTGGGGATTTCCGGGGAACCGGTGAGAATCCTCAGCGAGCTGCAATCGTGGATTTAGGAAAGGCGGGAAGTCCCCCACCCTTCTCTCTTCACCCGCTTCTCCGATTTCTCCCCACCCCTTCCCCTCCCTTTCAGGAGCTCAGGGCCATAAAAATGCAGATGGAGGATCGGTGTGAAATAACGGGCCCATATAAATCCCTCTGCCGCCCGCCTGCAAGATGGATTGGCCGCATTGAAATTCCTCCGCGCGGATAATTAAACTCGGGGCCTCATCCGGGCAAAATTACATTCCTGTAATGGCGTCGCTCGGGGTCCCGGGAAATTGCTCCGTGGGCTTTCAGCGGCGGTTTTTATCGCCGGCCAGGGTGTGCCTGGCTGCGGCTCGCCTCTCCTCCGGGACCGTAAAGCTGCTGCCGTGATTTATCCTCCCCTTCTCCCAAATCCGATTAAATGGAGGAGCTCGGGGCCGGGGCGCCGCGGGGCCCGGGAGCCGGGAGGGGGCGGCGGGAAGGACGGGGCCAAGGAGGGGAGGACAAACGGCCCCTCAGAGGGTGGCGGATTTGGCTTTATTTACAGCCGCGGCTCTCTTTATTTTTTATTTTTCATGGGGGTTTGGTGAGCTTTCCCCGTCCTTCTCGAGCTGCGTTCAAGCACGATGCCTGGATGGCTGCGGTTTGGACATGAGGGGAAGTGGGCAGGCCTTGTCGCCCTCCTTCTAAGGGGGCGGCTCCTAGCCTGTCTTGGGAGACAAAGAGGCCTAAAGGAAGGGATGAGGGCCGCGATCCCCCCGCCCCCACTTATTTCCATCGGGGAAAGGAAGAGCGAAAGGGCACGAGGGAGAAGCCGAAGGGCTTCCATGAGAGCACCTCGTGGGAGGACGGCTTATCTCAACTCCCACAGATGGAGCCTGGGCAGAGGCAGGGGCATGCCTGCAGTGACCTCACAACCTCGCCACAGGTCTCTGGTGCCCACTATTCCTTGACTGTCTCGGGACTCCGAAGAGCAGGCTTAGTGTCAGGGCACTTGAGTCACAATCATCGTTGGCCTCTATCTTCTGTTTTCCTCATTCCTGGCTGATAACTAGAATAAGAAAGAGGGAGAGGGAAATAAAGGCGAGGCCACCACAGGCAGCTGGGGCATTTTGCTCACTATCGCCCATTGAACGGGTTTCCCATCCATAAAGTCAGGGTCCCTGGGCGACAGAAGGCAGGAGTCCCGTGACTTCATTTTCCTTCTGCTACGTTTTGGGCACTGAACCCCTATCTCGACGTATGTTATTTAACACTGAATTTCTGGTGTGTGTGTGGGATTGTTAATGTGACTGCACATGCTGGGAAAGGGTACACGAGTCCAAGATCCCAAACGCTGAGCGGACCAAACCGCAGGCCACGTTACGGATCGGTTTACACTGCAGAGTTGTCTTCATTTCCGCAGAGGCTCGGCTCGGCCTGCAGTTTCTCCTCTCAAACACCAGGTGGAGCGACTGGCCGAATGCCGCCACAAAGCTGGCAGGCGGCGCTGTGGCGCCTGGGCCGACCCTCAATATTGCAATCACTCTATCTTTAGAAGGCGACTCGTTGGTCCAGGCCGCGCATGCGCTGAGCCTTCCTGTCGCTCTTCCCGCCTCCCCCCGCCCCTCTCTGTCTTCTCTGCACTGGGAGCAGGTAAGGCCTTGGGCCCTCGCGCCCGCGATGCGCTGCGCACGCGCGCGCAACACCCCCAGCTCGCACGAGTCCTCTGAGGCCCTTTCCTTGCATGCTCCCACCCTGATCCTCACGCCCTCCCTTGTCCCCGGTATTCCCGCGCCTTAGGGCTGCCCCTTCCGCGTGCCAGTGACCTCCAACCGCGCGGGCCTGGCGCCATCTTGGATGTCTTGTGGGAGGGGGGAGGGAAGAGCGCCTTGGAGCTGGCGAAAGTCAAAGACCGGAACGCTCATTTTCACCTGTTCCACTCGGCCCTTACAGAGGTCTTTTCTCACCATCCTGTCTATTCAGAGTTGTTACAAACCCCGGACTCGCCCTATCTGCTTTCCCTTCTCATCCTGACTCGTTCTCTCCTTATCCTGCAACCTCCAGACTTGGCCCCAGGATCTCAGCTGCCCCAAGCAATGGAGATAGCCGATAGTCTTGTAAAAGTAAACGTGAACATGGCAGAACAAAGCAGCCAAAACACCCTCTCCATTCAGGCCGTGGCCTGGGAGAGCTACGGCAGAAAAGAGACCAGTTTCTTTGGAACCATTGGTTGTCCTGCAGTACCGTTCTCTTCCTCCACTCAAGTGAAGTTGGAAAAAACAGAAGTGATGGGCGAGGTTTTCTATTAGAGGCAGCAGACCCAAAAGAGTCGTGTGGGGCAGCATGGGGTGGTCCTCACCTGCCAGCTTTCTTGTCAAGGGTATACTAAGAGTCCCCAGACTCTGCTCTCAAGAGGAAAAGAAGGTTTAAGGAAAGGAATGGTTAAGTCAGTAGCCCTCTAACGCTGTGACTGATCGCGGAGGAATAAACCCATGATTTAGGCCCACTGATCCTGGATGCTACTGTTAACTGAGGTGTTGTAGGCTAACAACTGCAGACTTGCCATGGTTAGGGGGCCAGTGGAGGCATCTGCACTTCATGCAGGCTCCCTTAATTGCGAGCCTTTGTTGTGGGCTTGTTACATGTCAGCACCACATTAAACTCTTTACATGTTACTTAATTGACCCCCCCAACTATGTGTTGTACAATGATGTTGAGGTTTAATTGCCTTGGGGGGAAACAAACAGTATTTACTTATTTATTTATTACGTTTTAAGTAAGCTCTAAACCCAAGGTGGGGGTTGAACTCACAACCCGGGAGTCGCATGCCCTCTTGACAGCCAGCCAAGTGCCTAGTGCTCCTTTTTTTTTTTTTTTTTTTTAAGATTTTATTTATTTATTTGAGAGAGGGAGCCAGCATGGGGTGGGGAAGGAGAGGAAGAGGAAGAGAATCTCATGCAGACTCCACCCTGAGCTCGGAGCCCCTCTTGGGGCTCAGTCCCACAACCCTGAGATGGTGACCTGAACCCAAACCAAGAGTGGAGCACTCAGCTGACTGAGCCACCCAGGCACCCCCCCACACCCCGTCCTCCTTTTTTTTAAGCTTTAGGGAAATTTCGGATTTTGACCAAAGAAAACCTTTATAGCCTGCAGCAAAATTGGGTTAGAGTTATATATGGGCAAATTGTGGAGACGGGATAAGAGTTGAAGGCATTGATTAATTTGAAAGTGACTGATTCTGTATTCAAAAGGGTAACCTGGGAAAATCTTGAGTACAGCTCATTTAAGGGAGTGTTATTTAACAGGTTTAAGTAACCCCTGAATATTTCAACCTGTAGCATATTAGGAAGCATTAACTTAAGTGTGAGAAGATTTGAAGTCCTGACTCTACCACTACCATCATTACAAGACTAGTTTTAAGACCACACTCTCAGTGTACCTAAGGATCACTTGAGAAGCTTGTTTGAAATACAGGATATTTGGGCCTTATACCCAGAGATCTTGATCAGGAAGGTCTAAAGTGGCATCCGAATATGCAAAATTTTTTGAATATGCATTTTTAATACACAGATCATCCTGACCCTCAAGTAACTAGTTCAGGTGGGCCTCTCAGAGAAATCCTTTTTGTGGGTCTTTAACTCAACCACTCTTCTCTTAAATAACTTCACTTCTACAAACTTAGTGCACCTACAGGGTGTCAGCATTCTTTTAGATCTTGGGCACACAAAATTGAATGCCTCTTAATGTGATGGTGAAAGTGAATACTTTAACAGTCATGGCTAATTAGAGTAATGGGAGGAGTCCTCACTGATCTGCCTCACTATGTTAATTAATGTAGGAAATTGAAGTGTTTTGAGGAACCCAAAAACTTCCAGGTAATTCAGTGAAAAGATGGTTGGAGATCCTTCCAGGGTCTTGGCCTTCAACAAACATCTCCCAAGAGTCTTTAAAGGGCAGCTGTTTCGATCCCGGACAATGAAACCTTGAGAAGAGTTCCTTTTGAATAGATACTGAGGAAAGCTTAGGCAGAAGACACGGGAACTTCCTCTGAAGGACACCAACTCATGAAGCTATGGAAATGAATAACAGGTCTTAAAAGTTGAGACCAGGTGGCTACTTGTTTAGACCAGGGGGAGTCACTTGATTATAAGGAAATCTTAGAAGCTGTGTGGGGGAAATCTTGACTTCAGGGTTTTAATCCCATCTCTGCTGATGACTTGAGGTCATTCAGTCGGCTCTCTGGGCCATTTAAATTTTCCAGAGCACCTTTTCTGCTAATAAGGATGTCCTTTGATAAACAAGGACAATGTTACTTCTGTAATTTCAGCTCTCCTGCCACAGCCCCTCATCCCCTGAAAATGTACGCCTGTGCAAAGTTCGTCTCCACCCCCTTCTTGGTGAGTGCCTGCCTTTTCTGGGAGAGTTTTTAAGGTGGGGCATCTTGTCTCTTCCTTGCCACACCTTGGTCATCACAGCTGGGCTGGGCGAAGGTCCTTAGCTGCGTTAGCCTGACAGCAGAGAGTGAACACTTAACCAGACACCCCTTGTCTCAGATCCCTTGGAAGCCAGTTAAATCTTTTCATCCAACCATATTAGAAGAAGAGTGAAAATGAGAGTCTAGACTAAGATCGGGTTATTTCTACCCTAAAACTCTGTGTTCCTGTAAACTGGAACCCAGCTGGAAATAGCCTAACTTGGACTGAGTATGCACTGTGTATAGGATCTTGCCCTGAGCCATAGTCCAGAGTTCCCCTCTGGGAGCTTAAATTTGGGTAGCAAGTTAAAACACATGTAAATACACATTGGAAGAATATTTGATTCAGAAGCAACAGCATGGAAGAAATTACAGATTATTTTTTTTTAAAGATTTATTTATTTGAGAGGGGAAGAGAGAGAAAACAAGTGGGAGGGACAGAGGAAGAGAGAGAGAATCTCCACTCTGCGCTGAGTGCAGAGCCTGATGCAGGGCTCAGTCTCACAACCCTGAGATCATGACCTGAGCTGAAACCAAAAGTTGGACGCTTAACTGACTGTGCCACCCAGGCACCCCAGAAATTACAGGTTATTAGATTATGGAGGCAACTGGTTCATACGTCTGTAAGTGAAAAGGGGTGGTGCTATTCATGGGTACCATTGATTGAACACTGGGTGTACCAATTTGTATACGTAATCTCATTTACTTCTCACATCAACCCTGAGGTACCACGTTCCAGTTTAATAGATGAGAAAGCAGGTTTAGAAAGATTTAAGTGACTTGTCCTAAGATCACATGGCTGAAATAGAGCTAAGATTAGAATCTAGATCTATCTGACTAAACCCTGGCTGGTAACCACCATGTTGTCTGCTTCTGCTTGGGGTTAGTCAGAAATGGCTACAAGAGGGGGTAAATTTTGAGCACAAGGGTAATGCCTTGTGGCCTGAAAGGAAGTAGGTTTCTTCCCATAAGACAGAGGAGAAGCCTGGGAAGCAAGAGAACTGGTGTTGGTTCTTGAATCTAAAATTTGCTGAAAGTAAAAGAGTGATCCAAGATTCTGATTTAAGCTCAAGAGAATGAATGGGGCATCCTCGTGACAACTTGGGATGGTTCTGAAACTCCTCCACAACCTTCCTTGACCCTCTTGCCTTTGTGTCATTCCCCCTAGGTCAGGAGCACCTCTCAGCTGTTGAGCCGATCACTGTCTGCCGTGGTGCTGAAACCACCGGAGACACTGACAGATGAGGTACCTTATAAGGTGGGATTGGGCCTGTGGTTTTTGGGGGTGAAGGGTGAAGAGGGCTACGTGGCAGTGCCAGTAGGGGGAGAGCTGAGGACAATCATCACACACTAAAGTTAGTGAAGGATCAAGGCTATTGGCTTTAGGTGAAGGTGTTATTGTTATGTTAATCCCCATACATTACATCATTAGTTTTAGATGAAGTGTTCGTGATTCATTGTTTGTGCATAACACCCAGTGCTCCATGCAGAATGTGCCCTCCTCAATACCCACCACCAGGCTAACCCATCCTCCCACCCCCCTCCCCTCTAGAACCCTGTTTGTTTTTCAGAGTCCATCGTCTCTCATGGTTCGTCTACCCCTCCGATTTCCCCCGCTTCTTTCTTCCCCTCCCGCTACCTTCTTCTTCTTCTTCTTCTTTTTTTTTCCTTAACATATATTGCATTATTTGTTTCAGAGGTACAGATCTGAGATTCAATATAGACCATACCTGAATCTTGAAGGTATTTGATGTTCACCTCTTGCATCAAAAAGTTCTGCTTGGCAGCATTTTAGGGGATTTTCCAGGGAGTAAAAAGTTTTTGTTTGGAGGAGAAGCCATGGAATATGATAGGATAAATAGTTTAAATGGTACAAAAGCTGCGGAAGCAAAAAAAAAAGGGGGGGGGATTTCTTAAATCTTTACCCATCTTCTTCACAGAGCCTCAGCAGCTTGGCAGCCCCACGTCCCCTGACCTCACGTATTCCTAGCCGCAGCTTCCAAACCAGCGCCATTTCAAGGGACATCGACACAGCAGCCAAATTCATTGGGGCTGGGGCTGCCACGGTAGGGGTGGCTGGCTCTGGGGCTGGAATTGGGACTGTGTTTGGGAGCCTCATCATTGGTTATGCCAGGTAAGATGGGCCCTCCATTGGCTCTCACATAATGTTTCCAAAGGTCTGGGCAGAAATACCTGGGGATCTTGAGCTATACTATCCTATACAGTAGCCACATGTGGTTATTTGAATTTGAATTTTTATTAACTAGGGGCTCCAGGTTGGCTCAGTCGGTAGGGCTTGGGACTCTTATCTCAGAGTCATGAGTTCAAGCCCCATGTTGGGTGTAGAGATTACTTTTAAATAAATAAGTATTTAAGTAACTAACAGTACATAAAAGTTTAAATTTTATGTATTTATAATATGGCTAGGTAGCCACATGTGACTGGTGGCTACCATATTGGAAAATTCCATTGAAAAGCTTTGGTTTAGAGCAGGAGTCAGCAAACCAAGGTGGGCGGGCTATATCTTGGCCACTGCCTGGTCTTTCTGTAGCTGAGCTTAGAATGGGTCTTACATCTTTAAAGTGTCATGAAAAAAGGGGGGCAACAGAGACCGTATGTGACCCACAACATCTACAGTATTTACTGTCTGGCCCTTTACAGAGAAAGTTTGCTACCACTGGTCTAGCTCCTCAGGTTAGCATTGTGACTTTATTGCTGCTTTTCCCCGTCCCTGGGAATTCCCCCCGTCACTCCTGGGAAAATTTCCGCCTTTGCAGCCAGCCCCACAGCTTCCTGACATTGGGACTATTTGGTCTCTGCCAACTCTGGGCAACTCACTGTTAGAACTAAGTTAATCCTCTAGAGACCTGCAAGTTCTCTTAATGCCTTTGAGGAAATAGGTTTATTTTTTAGAATTTATATGAAATAAGCCTTACTGCTTCTGTGTCCACAATTCTGTTAGAAGCTGGTGGTACTTTATCTTTCAGGGCTTCCGGAAGGGACAGAGTAAGGGAAGTAGAAATTATTGGGAGTCTTTTATTCCATTTTGTCTACAAACCCCACAGACCATTTGTAGCTGCTTAAAGCTCCAAATCTTTGCCTACTTTGAAATGAAAGAAGGTAGTCTGTCCCTCTGGCTCCCTTGTCCTCTAGAATGGTGTTTTTCTTGTTTTTGTTTTTATTTTTGTTTTTGTTTTTAGAATGGGGTTTTTCTAGTTGTGTTCCATAAAGCCCTAGGGTTTTGAAGTATGCCCAGAAACCATCTTAAAGAATGAAGGGGAGACCAGTCAAGCCTTTAAAATCCTCCACTTTTTTACCATTGTAATTTGGTTTTTATACATTTTGTATTTTGGGGTTCTGCTACTTAAAGTTTCAAAACACTGCTCTGATAGACTCTTCCACTCTGGATGCCTCTTCCATTCTGGTGCGCCCTGGATAGTTAAATAAATGTCCAGGCCTAAAGGTCTTAGTTACGATATGGGTGATCCACTGGAGGAGGTAATGTTTGTACCTGGGCCATGTTACAGAATTTTGGATTGTCCACTCCCATCATTCAGTCTCTGTAGAGCCCTTGATGTATCAGGCAAGAATTGGGGCATGATGGTGTCACCCTGAGAGACGCATTGCATAAGATGGGCTTTAGGAGATGAGTTTTCCCTGAGCCCATCTTTGATGTTTGTCTTTTTCTTTGTGTGGACTAGAAATTCAGTCTTTTCTCCTCCCCTTCTCCCAGGAATCCCTCTCTGAAGCAGCAGCTCTTCTCCTACGCCATTTTGGGCTTTGCCCTCTCGGAGGCCATGGGCCTCTTTTGCCTGATGGTGGCCTTTCTCATCCTCTTCGCCATGTGAAGGAGCCGTCTCCACCTCCCATAGGTCTTTCTCCCGTGTCTTGTCTGCCCTGGATGTTCCTTTTCCTATACCTCCCCAGGCAGCCTGGGGAAAGTGGTTGGCTCAGGGTTTGACAGAGGGAAGACAAATAAATACTGTATTATTAAGATTTTTCTTGTGTCTCCTGTGTATATTTGTTCTCCACGGTTGGCTGAGTCCCTTGGTGAGAGTATAAAGCCTGGTGGGTCGTGACAGTTCTAGATTCAGCATGAGTCTGGGCTCACTTGTTCTTCATTCTCTGTGTCAGGAAAGCTTTATTCAAATTAGTGGTCCTTTTTATTAATTTTCACCTGGGCTAGCCTGTTATCTTGGAGGATTGGGTCAGTAGAAACGAACAGGGCTGGCTTAAAATTTTGACGAATGGCTATTTCCACTGCTGCTATCCTAGCTCAGGCCCTCATTGCCACCCACTTGGGTCTATTGCAATAACCTTTTAACTGGCCTTCTGCCTCCAGTCTCTTCCCTCTAGCATTTACTTCTATCCACCACCGCCAGATTAATCCTTAAGTATAAGACTAGTTTTGTCATTTACCAATTCAAACACAGTCTGACCTCAGCCTACTCAGATTTTATCTTTTATTGTTCCCATACACTCTACCCAAAGTGGTATTGTCATTTTTCAAATACTTTCCCTCTTTCCTGTCCTTATCTTCAGACCTTGCCCTTTGGCTATCTTTGCTTTCTTTTCCTGGATCTTTGCTCCCTTTCCTCTTTTTCAAACTCCCTGTTATCTTTAAAGACTTGAGTTTAAATGCTACCTCTTCATTATGAAGCTTTCATCTAGTTTCCATCTACCATCAGTCAAATGCGCATTAACCAAAATAAAGGACTGTAGAGCATGTTGTATCCTTTATAATGCTTATGGTCTGTGATAAATGGTGGATTTGTATGCATGTATGTGTCTTTTATCTTCCAAGTTAGACTCAGTTTCTTGAAGGGACTATGTCATGTTCATTTTTGTATCCCTAGAAGTATCTAGATGATGCATCTCAGCAATATCTTTGTCAGATTTTTTATTTAATCATCTAAACCACCCACCTTACTTCACAAATGAGGAAACCAAGAGTTTGAAAAGTCAAAGGATAGTTTAAAAAGGCAAAGGATTCTCTCAGGAACATTCATAGCAGATGTGGAGCTAGAACAAGGATCATGTCTTGTAGCCAGGATGTAAGAATACCATACTGTCGGTCTTGTGGGACTCTCCCCAAGCCCAATATTGCCGGTGACTTCTTATCCCAAGCAAGAGGAAAGGGCAGAATAAGCAAACAAACCTTTTCCCTTAAAAATTCCTGAAGAGGGGCGCCTTTGTGGCTCAGTCATTAAGTATCTGCCTTCAGCTCAGGTCATGATCCCGGGGTCCTGGGATCGAGCCCTGCATCGGGCTCCCTGCTCAGCGGGAAGCCTGCTTCTCCCTCTCGCACTCGCCCTGCTTGTGTTCCCTCTCTCGCTGTCTCTCTCTCTGTCAAAATAAATAAAATCTTTGAAAAAAAAAATTCTTGAAGAGGGACTTTGGACAGTGGGGTTAATATAAAAGTGAAGAATTATATTTTCTGAAGGCTAGATACACCTTATCCTACGCATGTTTGAAGTAACTGGGTTAAAGTCCTTACCTGATAATGTGAATGACCACAACAGTTTTTCTTTTGATTTAATTGACTATAAAATTAAAGCCCAGTGCAGAGACTTAACCCCAGAGTAAACTGATTCTTAGGAAGCAGGTCACCCAAAATCATTCACCCTTGTCATTTTGCTATTGTGATCAGAGGTTGAGAGGGACCCTATCCACAGCTTGCTTCCAGATTGCTATACTACCCTCAACTAAGTGTATTCTGGGCTGTGGGGCTTTCGCAAGAACTACATATTTTGAGATAAGGAATAGACTCTTCCTCTATTATGGTCTCTTAAATTTGTATCTCTGGTAGGGCCTCTGCTGCCCATCCCCTTTCTAAGTCATCAGGTGTTTGTTTTGTTTCTCTTCCTTGGCCCTTTCTTTGGGATTGATCCTAGCTAACCCCTTATCAACTTAGGTGCTTGGGGAGAGCACAGCTTAGTGGCCCACGTGTTTTTGTTCTCTCTGAGGTGAATGATGAGATGGTGCTGCAAGGAGTTTGGAAGCAAATATCTTCGGGAGGAATTAAGGCAACCTCTTAGTTTCAAGTCCCAAGAGATAATTATTGGCAACCCAAGTTGCTAACAACTTGGGGAAGGGAAGTGCTGTGTTTTAGTAGAGGGTCCAAAAGCAAATTTTCTGAAGATCTTCCAACTTTGATAACATGTAATGAAAGCTTTCTATTTATCCTTGTAGTTTTAGCGAGAGCCCATGTTTGAAATCAGATTTTTTTTTCATGTTACTTATTTTTTTAGTATAGTTGACCATAATGTTACATTAGTTTCAGGTGTATCAGGAGATGTTCTAATCTCTCTTCTACCACTGGCCACTATAATGTTGGGCAGATCACAAACCAGTAACTTTCTAGGACCTCAATTTGTCCCCATCTATTAAATAGGGATAATAATGTTCATCCCGGGAATTATGTGCATACACACAGAGGCACCTTAAGTATTTGGAAAGGATGATGCCATCAAAGTTCAATATATATTGATTATAATTTGCTTTCTTATTCTCCATGGAGCTCAGAGCATATTACAGGCATTTTGTAGATAGCTTCTCCCTTTTTTATGACCATCCAAAATTGATCAATTCTAGCCATAAAACCACAGAGAGAACCCAGGGATGCTGAAGGCAGCAAGACTTGCTTCCCTCTTACTCCTGTTTTTTCAAAAGTCAGTTGTGTTTCTTCAGAACCAGGGGAGGAGTGCCATTCTAATTAGAGGAAAACGATGTCCTTTGGAAATAATCTAAATGCTAAACAGCAGTAATGAGTAACCCTGTTCCAGCCTCCCTTTCAGGATGGATCTATTAGTTTTGAGGCTTTCTCAGGTCATCCAGATGAGAAATATGTTCAGGAACAACACTGGTGATTTAGCTTAAGTTGGTGTCTGAGCACTTAGAGGCTGCTCTGTGTCTAACATCCTTTCAAGAGAAATGAGATGAAGGAATATTCAAGTTGAATTCTGAAATAGAAAAAGGGGGCGCCTGGGTAGCTCAGTTGGTTAAGCGACTGCCTTCGGCTCAGGTCATGATCCTGGAGTCCCGGGATCGAGTCCCACATCGGGCTCCCTGCTCAGCAGGGAGTCTGCTTCTCCCTCTGACCCTCCTCCCTCTCATGCTCTCTGTCTCATTCTCTCTCTCGCAAATAAAAAAAAAAAAAAAAAGAAATAGAAAAAGGAAGAGGGTAGCATCACTCTGGTAAGTAGAGAATACTGTCCTCATCCTCTTAAGTTGTGAGCAATGAAACTTTGTCTTAATATTGAGTCGTATCTAAAATTATCATGCATTCCAAAGTGTATTCTTAGGACACACTTTTGGGGAGCTTGGTGTTCTCACTGTTTGATGAGGAAAATTAAAATACAAGGTTTTTTAGTCCCCAGGCATTCCCTAAAATGTTTTTATTTTTGAAGTATTTATCTCAAGGCACTATGAGTGTTAGTAAGTACATTGTGGTCAAACTAGCAACCGAAGAAATAGCAGAAGACATGATGGATAGAATACCAGGATGAGGTCAGGCCTCTCTCATCTCAAATGCTTGGCTTCTCTTATTAGTATAAATGGTTAGTTAGAGATAATTTTTTCCCACTTCCTCCCCTCACCCCATAAGAGATCCTTTCCTTTCATCTTTTTAAATAAGTATGGTGGTAGGCAGAATTTTTTAAATGACTCCCCTAAATATGTCCTACTCTAATCCCCAGAACCTGTGGATTTGATGGGATATGATGGGTGTGGTTTGGTTATATTACATGGCACAGTTGACCAAGATAGGGAGATTATATGTGTGGGCCTGATCTAATCACATGAACCCTTAAAAGCAAAGAGCTTTCTCAGGCTGCTGACGGGAAGAGAAATGAGAGATTTGAAAGAAGGATCAGTGTGCCACTGCTGGCTTTGAAGATGTAGGGGACCATATGCAAGGACAGAAAGTAGTCTCTGAGAACCAAAATTGACCCCCTAACCAGCAACCAGCAACCAGCAAGGAAATGGGGACCTCAGTCCTACAACTGCAAGGAACTGAATTCTGCCAGTGGCCTGAATGAGCTTGGAAGTAGATTCTTCCTCAGAACCTCAAGATAAGATTCCAGCCCACAGTTCAGTTGATTAAGCGTCCAACTCTTGATCTCAGCTCAGGTTGCGATCTTAGGGTCATGAGTTCAAGCCCTGCGTTGGGCTCCATGCTGAACATGGAGCCTACATAAGAAAAAAAAAAAAAAAGATTCTAGCCCAGTCAACACCTTCCTTGACTTTGGCTTTGTGAGACCCTAAGCAGAGAATACAATCAAGCCTTTCTGGATTTATGATCTACAGAACAGTAAGGTAATAAATGGATGTTGTTTTAAACCACTAAGTTTGTAATAATTTATTATGTAGTGATAGAAAGCTTATAGAAGTACAACTTTTCAATCTGCAAAAGGAGTAACATTTCATCTGAATCTTATGCTGAAAGGAAACTCCAAAAGTTGACTTATCTGGCCCTCTGCCTCTTCATTGAATGTAATGTAGTTCAGAAAGGCTAAAGAAGGAAAGACCTTTAAACGAAAATTTTATGGCATAATCTTTTACTAGAGCCATTTAATTTGTATGAAGTAGATATCTTTTCTTGTTTTGTTTTTTTTTTTTTTAAGATTTTATTTATTTATTTGACAGAGAGAGGTAGAGGCGCAGCGAGAGAGGGAACACAAGCAGGGGGAGTAGGAAAGAGAGAAGCAGGCTTCCCACCGAGCAGGGAGCCCGATGCGGGGCTCGATCCCAGGACCCTGGGACCATGACCGGAGCTGAAGGCAGTCGCTTAACCGACTGAGCCACCCAGGCGCCCCTCTTTTCTTGTTTTAACAGATGAGAAAAACTAAGGCTCAGATTCAAGAGTGATGCCTTAGTCCTTGAGGTTATCTAGGTAGGAAGTGATAAAACCAAATAGAAGGGGTGCCTGGGTGGCTCAGTCATTAAGCATCTGCCTTCGGCTCAGGTCATGATCCCAGCATCCTGGGATCAAGTCC